TCTCCTAGGTAGAAATGAAAACGTATGAAGTGGTTTGGGAGTTTCCCGTTCAAGGAGCTTTGTAAATGCAAGGTAACAGTATAATCCAGGGGCGGGCAATTATTTTGGGCAGAGGGCCTCTTACTGAGTTTTGGCAAGCCATAGAGGGCCGCATGACAGGCAGCCCAGGGCAGATGAATATGAATTTTCTAAATTTTTTTAGGGGCCCTGTGGGCCAGATAAAATAGCCTGGCAGGCCACATCCAGCCCCCGGGCCACATTTTGCCCACCCCTGGTATAATCGGTAGCATGTACCATGCTGGGAAACAAATAATGTTTTCCTGAGTCCCTTGGTTCTCTAGCTGTAAATTATTCTTAAGTCTGGCATGAGATGATTTAGCGTTAGTTGGATTAGTCTGGAGTCAGGCAGAAGGCAGGTTAGATTAGCACCTTATAGACCAGCTAAATCAGATGCATAAGCTTTCATAAGCAGCAACTGACTTTGTCAGGTGCTAAGATCCACACTTTCCCTATAGAAGTATTTGGAAAGGTCTTATCTACAAACTTCCCTTCTACATGTGGTCTTTAAAGTGTCCTCAGTTTAATTTCCCCCTGGTATCCAAGTCTTTTGCAAATGACATATCATGTACTGCAGTTCACCATTAGAGATTGCAATTTGGAATCTCAGTTTAACACATCAGCCGTTTGCATCATGTTCCTCTCTACCATGTTTCATTAATATAGGAACAACAAATACCGGTATGTAGCAAGCAAAGGAATGTCAAATCACTGCACTTGGACTGTTAACCACTAACATATTCTCTTTTAAAAGGTTATGTTTCAATACAAATGTTCTTTGTTGGAGTTGCCATTTGAGTTTTATTACTTTAGTCCTTTGGTGACTGAAGAGTGGATTTAATGAGTGTTAAACTGCTAAAGCTACTTGGCTAGTGGGTTTTGCCATAATTAAAAATGATAGCTCATTATAGAAGAATACATTCAAATTTTAAGGTTCTTACTGTAAATCAGCTTAAAGCAAGGGAAATCGGAGGTGTCACTTTTCTCTCAGAAGTTCTTGCTTTCCATTTATCAAGCCCCTGGAATTATGTTAATTTATTAAATATGGTCTTTTTAATTAAGAGCAAAATAAAATCCATCTTAACTGGAAAGATGAAGGGAGAGCAAGCTGGGGTTTTGCCATTTGAGTGGTCACCTGCTAGAGAAGGTGAGCCACCCTGATTCTGTGAAGTGAGCAGGCTTAAGTACTGAATGGAAATAGCATCCTCCCGTTCAGCAGATCTCTCTACCTTGTGCAGCAATCAGCTGCTGGCTTTTCTGACTGAAGGATGCTTTTGCCATTTCTACTTCCTCTGTCGCTGCAGCGTCGGTACAGCCCAGGGAGAGTGAGGTGGATGTGTTCTGTTCCTTCAATCACAGCTCAGACCGTTAGCTAAGGCCCATCCTGAAAAGCAGTCTTCAGTAATGCCCAGCTTCTGCCCCATTAAAGCTTTGCCATTGACTTTAGTATGCAAGGATCTTACGCTGCATCCCTCTAGGATCAGGTCGAGGTTCATACGTTCATACTGCAGAATCTAGTAATGGCAGAGCCAGAAATGACCTGACCTGGGCTGGGAAGTTTGCTAGCTAGGGGAAGAACACATTTCTTTTTACAGACATGGAGTACACTCAACTTTTAACAGTTTCACACAGTAGCTCTTTCTGATTGGAATGTAATTTTAGCTTTATTGGGGCTGAGATGGCATTGTCATTTGTACGGAGTGGGCAGTCTCGTCACCACATCCCGTTCTATTTGATTTCCCTGGCAGGTTTATGTTAGCCTTTCCTGTTATGTTTGGTGAGTACATCTCAATGCAGAAGTATACTGTGCAAAGAATTCTGCACAGTCCTGGGACAAGGCTAGGGCTTTGCAGAACTGAAAGTCTTGTTAAAGTTTGTATGAGTGAAATCTTGAGTCTTTTTCACCATGTGCAAACAGGAGAATAAGGTACGTTGGGATGCTGGGAGTATAACAAGTAATAAAAATCCTTAGCTTAGCAGTTTACTCCTTATTGGGCTAAAATACCAGGTGAATCTATCATTCCTGTTCTCTGTTTGCAGCCTTTGCAGCCTTGATGGCTGGTTTAGGATTTTCCTGGCATCGGAGGAGCTCTGTGGCAGAGCCAGCATATCTTGTCCCTCTACCACACCCCGTGCCCAAGCTTGTTTCCTTCAGACCACTGCCAGCTGGCATGGATTGCAGTAGCTCCCAGGCTACTCTGACCTGTGCAGAACAGATGTGCTCTGATGATGCACAGCCCTCTCTGCTGCACCGATGGAAACTACCTGTGACAGGGAATTGCAGAGCTAATCAAGGCTGAAGAAGGTGGAGGAAGGTTCTTCAGCTAAGACTGCGGATGTTACTAACCCTTCCTCTTCCTGTTGCTTTTCACTATAAAGTTGACTAGTGTTTGGGTGTGTGGGAGCTATTGGATTAAATCCAGCAGTCGAAAAATTAATCTGCTGCAAGGATGAACACAGCCAAGCTGACTCTTTGATTAGGAGGTGAAGTTCACTGCAAGCAGGCCTGTGTGAAGGCGTAGGCCAGGGTTGGGCAATTATTTTGGGCAGAGGGCCACTTACTTAGTTTTGGCAAGCCTTCGAGGGCCGCATGACAGGCAGCCGGGGCACATAAATATTAATTTTCTAAATTTTTTAGGGGTCCTGCAGGCCAGATGGAACAGTCTGGTGGGCCGCATTCGGCCCGTGGGCTGCATTTTGCCCACCCCTGGCCTAGGCATTATTTAAGGCACCGAGATATGAAAGCAGTGGGACCTGGTTCTAGTAGTTCAGTTTGCAGTCTTTTATAAAGAACACCGCTTCTGTGAGCAGTCACCAGACCCTCAACCCTGCAAGATGCATAAGCACGTGCCTGTGTCTAAGTCAGCATTTAATCCTTTTGAAATCAGGTGCCTAATCATATGCTTCAGTTTAGGCAGGGGCACAGACACCTGGCTGAATCAGAGCTGACTAATTTGAGGCCTTAAAATACTCTTTAATTTAGCATCTCTTTTTTCAACTGGATATTTAGTAAATAATTTCCTTTCCCTGGATTAATGTAGCATAGGAAAGAGAACAAAATGCTACTCTTTAAAGATGCCTAGAAATGGAGTCCAGCTAGTTCATCAGGTCACTGTGCTACTGGGTGAGACATTGTGGAGTGTTTTATGATGCAGTTGTTTCTGTGCAATGAATATTTTATGTGATGATTTTAGAACCTTGGGCAGAAAAGACCGGATCCTCAAATGAGTTAAAATGGTGCAGCTTTATTGAGTTATAATGTAACCCAGCTGTTAGACTGACTTCAGTGGTACTGTGAGAGTTACACCTGCAGGAGATTTGGCCCATCGATATGAAACTCTTTGTTTTCGATATTTCTACTGTGCCCAGTATTGCAGCATCTTCCTGACTAGTTGGAGTGGAAAGAGCTGTATTCTGAGCATGGCATTGGAAACCAGGGACTCTGTATTTCTAATCCCAAGGTTACTGCTTGTTTTCTGGGAAAGTCTTTCTCAGTTTCCCCATCTACAGCAGTAGCAGGGAGCAACACTACATGGTGTCCAAGGTGGATGTGAAGGCTAGGGCCTGTAGGATGCATGGAGGATATAAAGTGTTGCCTGTGTGATCCCATCTATGTAATTTATTTTGCATTTATAAAAAGGGCTCCCGGCATTATGCCTCTGAGCTTGTACAGAAGGGTTGTAATAAAGAAAATGAGCTATTGACCACTGAGGACCAATTTGAGTTAAATGTCAACTAGATACAAAAGGTTGACTTATTTTTCCATTCTTTCCTGTTCTCAGAACAAAACGCCCGGCAGACGGGACCTTATTGCCCCACTCAGGAGGTTAATAGTCACTTTATCTTCAGCCTTGTGTTTGCAGACGCTAGAGAGTCTCCCCACAGCACTGTGTTTCCTGGCCTTTCTTTATTACTGCTGAAATCAGTGGCCAGTGAGATTTCACTTGAGACTCGACCTTCACCTTTGAATTTGTTTGTCTTCCAGCCCAGTTAAAGCCCAGGATGTTGATGGACTTAAGGATATTATTGCAGACACATCGGGACCTGGTTCTTGCACTCAGACCCCTGCAAATTGGGAACAATTCCACTGAAGTCGGTGGAAGGTAATGTGTGTTGGAGGAGAGTCAGGCCCATTAAGCTTTCAATTGCTTTTCATACCACAAGCATTAGCAGTATTCTGGACCTGTTCCAGCTCCCAGTGAACTCAGTGGTACTGTCCCATTGGGAAATGGACCTGTCCTGAGAAACGGACTTTGAATGAAAGGCATGTGCAAAGCTCTTAACCTCCGCAACGTTCAGCTCAGTAGTGCCTCAGGACACTTATTTGGACTCTGATAAATATACCACCTCTGATCTACGTCTAAGCTAGGAAGTGGACCATGTGCCTCTGTTTATCTACTGCATTCTCACATTTCCTTGCAGATGGTTTTATATATACAGTGTTTGGCCACCAATGAGCAGAAGTTGTGTTGTTAGAACTTGATATTTATTACTGTTTTTGTGTGAATGTGTAGAAATAAACCTCCTTTTTCCGTGTCTTCCCCCTCCTTAAACAAAAGAACCACAGTTTTCTAATGTGTAAAATATCGACTGTTTGCAGGAGCTCTTCCACTGTGTCACAAGTTTAATCCACTTTTTATTAAGAGCCATTACAATCTTGGACTTTAGATTTACAACCTTCTATGAAAAAGGTACAGGAAGTGCAGCCTACCCTCCCTTTACTGCTCATATATCATTCTAGGGCTCTGATATTTCCCCCACAAATACATTTAATCTTTATACGGAATGAGAGTTCGTGCTTAAATATATTCTTGTCAACGAATTGAACCTTAGCCAACCTCTGGGGAGAAAACCGTCTTTTTTTTTTTGCCATATGTGTTCTTTGTATGTCAGCGAGTGTCTTGTGACACTGAGGTCCAAGGTTACATCTGTGCTCTCGTTGCAGATCTAGTGGAAATTGCCTTTTGAGTGACATCTCACATGACCTCCAATTCCAAACACGCCAGGAAGAGTTTGTGCCTGACAGTCGAGGCGCTGAGGAGGCCCAGACATGCAGGGTAGATTTAGAATATCAATATCCTCTCTGATATAATCAGTAAGTTGCCGGATCTGACATCCTGAGCTTTATCCCAGCTCTCTTGCTGGAGGTGGAGGTGGAGATGGTATGTTCTGTGGTTAGCTACAGGCAGTGATTCACACGCATGAATATCAAATCCTGGAATCAAAGTGATAATCTGTTTTGTACTTTCTGTAAAATATCCTTTTTAATGAAGGAGCTTGTCTCCCAGAAACTCCTCCAACAGGGGACTACCAGAAAAGACATCTTTTACAGAAGGTAAAAATAGGCATAATTAGATCAACATACAGCAATTAGTTGCCAAAGCAAGTATCATGACACATTCCTCAGGCTTGTATGCATGAATAAAGAGCTGTTACAGACTCGCAGGATCTGAAAGAGACTTTTGGCTATACTCTGTGCTTTCAGGGACAGGATTTCATCCTGTTTTTCTATTACTATTAAGCACAGATGGCTGTCAGTATGTGTAAAGTCTGAAGGGCAGAAATCCTCTTATCTCCATGTCTTTATTTCACCCAGAATATTGTATTTTATCCCAACCTTGTTTCTTCAAAGCTCTGATGTTGCAGCCTTTAAAAGTAGTGTGCGCGCTGCGTTTTCTACAGTAATGAAAGGTTTTCACTGAAAACTCCCAAGCCAAGCTCATTTGCCGGGAAAGGAATCTGACTTGTAACATAGCTGAATCTGTTTCTAGTTCAAGGCAGTCTTTCCTGAGTCATGTTTGTTAGCACACAGCTAAGCAATCCGGACTCCCAATACAAAGAGAGAATTATGGCGTGACTTAGGGAAAAAGTGACTGGCAAAGTTACATTCAGGCTTCCACACAAGATTTATGACGTGGATGTTGGAAAGGGAGCTCCGCATACAACTCTGAGGAAGGTCAGATTTTGTAAATGTTGGGATAAGAGCAGGGTGAAACCCAGTCTGAGCAATGGGAGAATCTCTGGGAATTCTCAGTTAATAGAGGCTGGCCTGCGCTGTGATTGTGGTCCAGGATTAGGTCCAGTCGTGGCTCTACCACAGATATCTTGTTGGAAATCTGGGCGAGTTGCTGAAAGCCTGACTTTTCAAAGATAGAGAAGTTAATGGGTTGGACTCAATGATCTTCCAAGGCCCCTTCCAGCCCTAATGTCTGTGAAATCTGTGAAATGGACACAGCAGATGTTCCACACCTATGGAGACCGACCAGAACTCGTTACATGGGTCTCTAAAATGTGGTGACAGAACTAAATTAACCAAGATTCGTAAGGTACTTTTTTGATCTTTGGCTGGATTGTGGACATCTGGATTGTTGTTGTTTGGACCGCAAAGATTACAGCAATGTACACATGTGAGATGCATATTGATTTATATATATATCCATCCAAGCAGGATTTCCACGTGTGATCATTAACATCAACCAATCCAGTTTATGAGGTGCACATTCTTCACTGGCTAAATCTCTTTCCTTAGTTCCACCCCGACTGTAATAAAGAAAGAGAAAGAAATTAAACTGGATTTTTTGTCTTAAATGTTACTGTTGTGAAGACACAACAGCAAAAATACAAGCAGCGATATATAAATGTTTGGGTATGCATGTGCACGCATGTGTGAGAGGTGTGTATCCACATGCATGCACGCACATATACAAGCCACACACACTTTTATACATGTATGTATAAAACGTCTGTACATTTTATACATACATGTATGTATTATCCATACATGTATAAAAATGTGTGTGGCTTGTGTATGTGCGTGCATGTGGATACACACATCTCTCACACATGCGTGCACATGCATACCCAAACATTTATATATCGCTGCTTGTATTTTTGCTGTTGTGTCTTCACAACAGTAACATTTAAGACAAAAAATCCAGTTTAATTTCTTTCTCTTTCTTTATTACAGTCGGGGTGGAACTAAGGAAAGAGATTTAGCCAGTGAAGAATGTGCACCTCATAAACTGGATTGGTTGATGTTAACGATCACATGGGGAAATCCTGCTTGGATTTTTGCAGAGAGGTTAAAGGCTAGAAGCCAAGAGAGTCCAAAGCCTGTCCTTTAGCAGAGAAGCCATTTCAGAGATTCTGCAATGCACTTAAAAGCAGCAGCATAAGCCCAGGGGATGAGTGCCAGCTTGCTGTAGGATTCTCAGTGCCTCCTCAGAATTGCTCAATATAAAATTCTCATGACATTTTGCTCCTTTCTACAACATATAAGCATGTTTAAACACAGTCACAACACATGGCTGTGGCCTAACTGTAGCTGGATATGGTTTCTTCTTGTGAACGTATTTCTAGCTATGTGAAGTGGGTTTTTTTTTTGTCTCTGGCAGCAGCAACCTAGTTGCAAAGAGGCTGCTAAAAGTGCTGCTTAGGTTGGACAGGGAACATATTTCTGATTCTTGACTCCATTTGCAGCCTTTTAACACCTCTGCTGTAGAGCTTCAGGCTGGTGCCTGGTATGCACGTGTATGTATAGAAGGTGGCCATGGAAATGTGCCAGTCTCGCATGGGGGGGGGGAGGGGGTGTGTGGAGAGCAGAGGGGTTCCCATTTTAGATTATATATCTCTGCTTGATCTTTTACTTTGCACAGGCTTTTTTGTGGGTGTAAATCTGCCTGTAAAACAAAACAGAATGAAAACGCCTGCTTGTTTGAGAGCTGGCTTTTTAACAGCTCTCTCTCAAGCCCAGATGACGAAGGTGGCTTGCTGAGTCACAGGGCTCTGCTGGGACTTGCTGACTTCAATCCCTGTGGGCTTATGCAGAAGTTAAGAAATGCTTGGGAAGAGTTTGCAGGCCTTGTAAATGCCACATCTGATCCCTCACTGGAAGGTAACACCTTTCTCCCAGTGATCTACCACCTGGCAGCAGGCCGCTGGGATTCCTGCCTCTGCTTCCAGACCCAGAGGAACGAACGGCGCACTGGTAGCTCTGGGTCCACAGGCTGCCAGAGGGAGGTTTATATATCCTGCTGCTGAGACGTGGTAGTGGTGAGTGAGCCACACCAGCACTTGTTCCACCAAACTTCATGCACATGGACTAGCTGGAAGTGGCATGGGAGTCGGACTGATGTCAGCAAAGAGAAGCAACTTTGAGGTCAGGTGTGATATGCCCCTCTGAGCTACACACTGCAGCCAAAGAGAACATGCAAACTTTGGGGAAAAGCCAGATCTGATTTTGGGCCCAGATGCTAAAACTGTTCCTCCCCCATCTTTAACGTACCCTCTTGGCACTGGAAAGGTCTATGTGATACTGCTGTTTCACTAATATGGTACTTTATGTGGCTGATTGCAGAATTTTTCTTGGTCCTAGGTGTGTTGTAAGGCTTGCTTAATTATGGGAGGCAGAGTTGCCCAATGGGTTGGGCTCTAGTTAGGAGAGCTAATCTGCACTCTACTACTGACTTGTAACCTTCCCTCTACACCTCAGTTTCCCCATTTCTAATATAGGGATGAGGCTATTTCCCAGCATTAGGACAAAGCTGGAGATGGGGCTTCTAGGGGTTATTGCAGTCCCAACAATGGAGAGTAATAGCAGTGAGTAGTAAGCATCACTGTGATACTGGGGTCAGATGAAAAGCTATAGAGAAATGGAAAACTTATTACCAGGTCCCCAGATGAGGTAGTTGTTTCACATGGACAACGAACTGTATGTTGCAGTGGTTGATGCTGTTATGGCTTTTACAGACATAGAGCCACATGTGTAGTTGAAATGTCAGCTATTGGGAGCTGGATTGTATTTTGCCTAAATGAAAATGAGCAGAGGCAGATATTCATATTAAAATAAGTAACTGCAAGACTAAAAAAAAGATGCTAACATATTCCTGAGAGCTAGGCTTAGATCCTGGGAGGGAAGGGAAAGGGGAATCTGCTTCCTGTTAGCAAAGGATTTGCGCCCTTGAGGATTATGGACTCAATTCTGCACCTACAAAATGCACGGGAGTTAAGCTGCCGACATCTCCAGAAGGGGGACTGGGTTCGGCAACTGGGTCTGTGCCACTTAAGCTCTTTTGCTTTTGAGTTACAATACAAATTTCTGATTAAGTTTCCTCCTATTCTTCATATGACTGTTGCCATTGGCAGCCTTTTCTGAGCTGCGTGCCAGGCAGATGTCAGATGAAATCCTACTTCCGAGGTTTCATGCATCAAGCCAGTCATTAAGTTCCCTAGTAATCTCTGGGAATTCCTTTCTGGTGGTTGTTACCCTATAGCTGGAGTTTGGATTTCAGCATTCTTCTTGTGGGCTTTCTGTGCTGGGTGGAGACAAGGAGCTTCTTGTCAAGCTGTGTTTGTTTGCATTAGGAGTTCAGCATGGAGTCAGCTGGACGAATGCAATAATTCAGTACAGAAATGAAGCTCGGTTGGATAAGAGTGTAACTAGTGCTGTTCCCATGGGTACATTTAATTTCTTAGCCCCTTCCCAAAGACTCAAAGCACACCTTTCTCCAAGCACATCTACGCATGCACTCTCATTTCAATATGTTCAAGGACCCACTTCCCCCTGAAGCGCTCCGATGGTCTGGTGAATACCAGTGACGTTGGACCAGGGTAGAATCTAGGACAAACATCATTGGTTTTTGGGGTGAAGTGTCACATGTCTCATCCTTCAAGGTGAAATCCTGGCCCCACTAACGTCACTGGCCTTCAGCAGGTCCAGCACTTCATCTCTGGGCTCCTCGAATGGCACGAACAGGTTTGTTCTCCGAGTGGCTGCTGTGATTCTTCAGGCACACAAAGGAGGAGATGTGCTTGGGCAATGACTGCCCTTAGCTCTCGCTGCCCCTGCTCTTCCCTCCATAGTGGGAGGGATCCCCTCCTCTTGGCCAATGGGTGGGGGGTATCCATATGGATATGGATCTTCCCTCCATAGTGGGAGGTATCCATATGGATATGGATCTTCCCTCCATAATGGGAGGTATCCATGCACAGCAAAGCTGAGAGCATTTTCACGGCCCTTAAGGAACCCGAGAGACCTGCCCACCTCAAATATCTAATC